TCCTTCTCTCTCTCTCTCTCTCTCTCTCTCTCTCTCTCTCTCTCTCTCTCTCTCTCTCTCTCTCACTGTGAGCCCCCACCGCTGTGCCTCTTGACTTTGAATCATATGTTAGATAATCCCCAGCGGTTCCCTCCTCTGATCCGACTGTGGGACTCTAGTTTCCTGATATCTTGTTCACCAACTCCTCTGGGAGAAATTCACACCGTCCACATGGCAGATCCACCTCTCCACAACTCCTGGCCCTCATTCTCATGGATGAAACGATGGTCCTTCAAAAGAGGTAGAGGGCATGATTGCGTCTTTCTGGAACTCTAGCATCTTTCCTTTTTTTTTCTGTGCTACCCTATTATATAATTATAATAAAATATATAATTAATAAATAAATAAATGGCAGTGCCATAATATTTTTGTTACTTTTTTTCTTATTTTATATATAAATGTACTGATACATATATTATATATTTTTGTCAGTAGAATATTTCTGCTCTGAAAGTATACCTAGTGTTTTATTTTGGCTTTCTGAATTGGCCATGTGTTTCTAATTGTGCTGAGTGGAGTTTTTTCCCCCACCTTTTCTGTCTTAAACTATAAATAGCTGAGGAGGTTTTTTGTTTGCTTGTGGTTGAGTGTCACTGATGTTATGGTACATGCAGTTGTGGTCTGCTCAAGAGGTCCGGTCACATTGCTAACAAAATGAGCTTTTGCATGCAGCTCTCATGACCAGACTGTATCTGTTGGCACATACAAAACCATATTTTCACACTTAACAGTTCTGTGTGATTATGTCATTACTGTATTTTGAGATAAAAGACAGAATAACTGGAAACCACCAGACTCCAAAACAGGAATTTTGGATATGTATTTAAATACTGAACCCAGGCGGTTAGCGTGTTATACTCTGAGACATATATGTGCTCAAATAAGTGATGTAAGTTTGATTCTGATGTGCAATTTCCTGATCCTATGTCATTTCCTCTCTTTGCTCTACTATTCTTTAAAGAAAAAACAAGATAAAAAAAAAACATAATGCTCTTTTAGTATTTAGCCATTAGCACATTTGCTCTCAAACATTGAGCTTCTGACATTTCCTGATTCTGTTCCCCATCTTTCTCTCATTCATTTAGTTGTATGTCTATTATAAATAACAGTTATATATTATAGATAGATAGATATAGATACACAGATGATAGATAGATAGATAGATAGATAGATACACAGATGATAGATAGATACACAGATGATAGATAGATAGATAGATAGATAGATAGATAGATAGATCAGCAGAAGTCACAATTAGTGTACTTGAGTTGTTTTTAAAATCATCTGTTAATGATGCTCCAAATATTGCGTGCATTTTCAGAGATTACCTTCTCTGATAGAGCTCTGAATTGCTTTACAGCTTTGGGGTTGCCCCTGTAATCCTCTTGGAAAAGCTCAAGACTCACATAACATAATTCTGCTAATTGCGATTGGCAAACCTTTAACTTCCTCCAGGGATTTGGCTACTCGAGTGCATGGCACGGTTTAGGCTATTTCAAGCCTGTTTCCTTTTACTTAGACCAAAATAAAACTTTGCGTCTTAATAGTGTGTGCTCTGACCTCAGAGTGTGTGAAAAAACAAATGTTTTCTGTGGTAGACCTACAGTAACCCTTGTAAAAGCTCAGAGGCCCCTTTGTTTAAGTATTTATGTTGAAGCATATGGTAAGAAGCAGCAGCCATAAAAGGATATTTGAACATGACAAGCATCATGGTGCTCTTATAGTTTACATATCACGTGTCTAATTCGGATACAAACAACCTTACTGCTCTCAGACTCTGTCATTCGTCTAGGGCCAAGATGATATACGCCAGAAAGTACTGTACAGTTCATTTCTCCATCGTTTAAGGACAGGCAGTCGGTGAAGGAGAACGGTTCTGGATTGGACTTTGGTGTCTGGGTTTTGTCATAGTCTATATCATTATTGTCATAATCACCTAGTCACTCAGGTACTCTGAGTTTTGGAAGGGTCACTTAAGCAATGCCCCAATAGTGGTGGGCCTTAATTTAACTCCAAAGAACGATTCTTGAGTGTTGATGGCAAATCTCAAAAGATGGAGAACATTGAGTCTACATTTATAAAAATACAGGTTCTGCAATGGTTCTTTTGGGGTTCTACAGTTGGTAATATGGTTCTTTTGGAGATGAAACAAGTTTATTTTCAGGTTCATATGTTCTTCAGGTCAGCGAATTGCTTCCAGGTAGAGGAAACATCAATAATTTCTTGGTTCTTTTGAAGCATGTACTTAGATGGCTTTCTGAAGAACCTTGGGTTCTCCTATAGCATCAGGCTGGAGGCTATTATATACCATATACTATCAAACACATCCCAGAGTTTTGCTTCTGTAAACTAGTGCTTCCATTTTACATCAGATTAAGATCTTCTGTTTACAGGGAAATGTTTCCAGCTTCAACTGACTCCAGCTGTGTGTTGATGTAATGTGCTGAAGTTAATGGAAGTCACCGATAAGTTCTGTCAGTAGCTATTTAGAGTATTTTATTTAGGGTGCGCTGTCATACTGGCTCTCCAGACCCGTATCTCTATTATTGCTATGTCACAGGAAAAAACACCATAGATATGATGTAATTAGATATCCAGAATGTCACACCACTCTTAATTTGTTTTGTCTGGTGCACAGCAACAATATGTTTGATAAGGCACCTAACCAAACGCAGCACTGCAAGTCTGAGATCAAGAGTTCACAATTGTGGATAATATTTCTTGCTAAATTCATGGTGGATTGTTTTGTGTTTCAGCCTCAGATTGCAAACCATGCTCTCAACTTCGAGCCCCGGTCTCAGCACCCAGCTCCTCCTCATCCTTGTCCTCGACCTCCATCCCAGAAGACGTCTTCTTTAGCAGTTCACCTGAGGACAAGGTAAGACCCTAACCATAACCTTACTCTTAATCTTGGGTGAATGATTGTTTGAGAAGAAGGATGCCCAAGCTCCTAATCGAGTCCTAAACGAAACCCCAACATTAGCCCTAAACCCTCAAACTGATTGCTTGCCAGGAATGTTGTTCTATAACCGTCAAGGATATTGACCCAGGAATATATGGAACTCGGCAAAATCAGTCCATATGACTTGTTCATTATGTATATGCCTTTTTGAAGTTGTATCATAGCTTTGTGTGAGGATCAAGACCTTGATCAATGCACTGTACCACTGGTTCCTCTATTGGGATTGTCCTTGTCAGTGTACTGCAGGGGTCACCAAACTTGGTCCTGGAGGGCCGGTGTCCTGCAGAGTTTAGCTCCAACTTGCCTCAACACACCTGCCTGGAAGTTTCAGGTATACCTAGTAAGACCCTGATTAGCAGGTTCAGGTGTGTTTGATTAGGGTTGGAGCCAACCTCTGCAGGACACCGGCCCTCCAGGACCGAGTCTGGTGACCCCTGGTGTACTGTATTAGATAGATGTGTCTACTCGATGACTATGTGCTTAGCCCAGTGGTTCTCAATTCCAGTCCCTGTATTTATTTACAGATGCATTTATGTCACACTTCTCTAGTAAGTTTCGTCTGTGTGTGAAGACACTGCAGGCCGTGGTGTAGCGCAAATATGTGAATGAATGTTCCGAAGAAGTAAACTTCAACGTATTTCCCCAGCTCAGGGAGTAGGAAGCAATGAACACTGTGTAAGGATCATGTCAATCGGAACACAGTTCATGCACGGAGCTCACTTCTAATGAGCTGGTTATCTGAATCAGGTGTATTAACCACTTAAGCTCGGGGCGTTTTTTTTCGCCTAAATTTAACATACTCAAATTCAAATGTTTACCCTGCCGGTTCTATCGAAGATAATTCGATCTGTGATTGTCACACAATGAAATAATCTACATCGTCAAATTCCTGAGAATGAGAGCTTTCTTGTGATATATGACTTGACTTTTTTGTGAAAAATATATAAAATACACATTCTTCGTAAAAATTATTCGCAATGGTTAGGCGGAAATTCGTGTGTGGGACGAATACATTTCTAAGCTTAATTTTACTGCTTTATGAATATAAAAACCAAAAGGAATGGTATTCTTTGTAAAGAAGACACTCCAAGCTTTCAAATGAACCCATATATGGGCTGATACCATATAAGGAAGGCTATGTAAATGAAGCATAAACATTTTTAACGTCATTCCGCAGAGTTTAACTGGTTTTAACTAAGAGAGACATGCAAAATACGAGGACTGAAATTGAGAACCGCTGACTTAGCCAGTGGCTCTTGCATCACACAAGAAGTTTACTGCATCCTCTTTCAGTCCATGAATGACACTAGTTGTGACTTACTTAGACTTCATATTATTAGTCATGTGACCTTTTTGTTGTGATAAATCAGCTGTCTATGGGTTTTTACATACAGAGAAATTTCTTGACTGAGAGCGACGAGTGCAGCAGTGAAGAGGACCTTTTAGACCTCTGCTCTTCTCTGAGAGATTCAGAATATTTCAGAGACCTGCAACTTGGATCCATTGAACCACTAGACACACGACATCCGGTTTTAATTGCACCTGTTTCTGCCCCTTTGGTACCTCCAGCATCCACACCAGAAAGTGGATCTAGGCAGAATTCCACAGAGTTCAACACCCATCAACTTTTCCAGACAGACGACACTGTGATTTCCACTGGAGGGGAAGCCATGGATCGCTTGGTTGCTATCAGAAACTCAGAACAGAAGGAATTCCAGGATTATCCGGAATCCGATCAAGATGAGGACTCAGACACGGATAACTTTCCTATATTAGTTAGATCCATGTCCACGTCACGTAGACACAGCTGGGAAGTGCCAGTGTCGCCGATTGACCTGGGAAGAAGGTAAGACTCACTTTTTCAGTGGTCCCAAATAAAAATAAATGTCACTGCCATAACTAACTGTGATGTTAGAAAGTCTTTGAGCAGCGCATGAATTCTGCCTGGTAACAGAGTCACACTGATGTATGTGTGTATGTAAACATTGTATGGTTATGTTGTGTAGGTTCAGTCTAGACACTAACGGCATTGACAGTGATGGGGAAAGAGAGGTCCACTGTTTGGCCAAAAGTCCCCATCTACCATCTTCCTCCTTCTCCGAAAGCTCAGTGGAAGAAACCACTAGCGCTGTGGAAAGTGAAATCCCCGAAACACCAGTAACTGTCCTTATTGTAATCTTTGTCTTAGTATGACCAGAACAAGCCACACTCCTGCTCCTGGAGGGCTGCCATCCTGCAGAGTTTAACTTCAACCCTAATTAAACAAACTTGAACCAGCTAATCAAGGTGTTCAGGATTACTTGAAAATAATGTGTGTTGGAGAGTTGGAGTGGAATTCTAGCCAGAAGGTAGCACTCAAGGAGCGGGGTTGGCTTCCTATGCCGTAACTCTTATTGATAACATTTTCCCATTATTTGGTTTTAACGACAGAAGCCAACCACGCCAGCAAAGACAGTATATTCCAGATCTGATATCCTTGCGACTGATGAAAAATCCCAAGCAGACAGAGTCTCCCACATACTGGAGACTTCTAAGCAGGCTGCCAGAGAGGCTGGAGGTTAGTGAAATGATTCTCCAGTTAGGCAGAAAACTCCAGTCAGGTTCTCATGGGCTCTAGCTCTGAAGCAATCAGATAAATCCAATGCTAATTCTGTCAGGAGGAATTCTTGGATCAAAAGCAGCAAAACACACATTTTACCATTTAAATCTTCCAAGGAGACCTTCTTTATTTGGTAGTTCTATAAACAAACTATGTTCTGGTACTTTCAAAAACCCAGGGTGCTTTCACACTAGCACTTTTGGTGCGCACCCGGGTTCGATTGACGTCAGAGTTCGGTACGTTTGGATGATGTGAACGCTGTCTTCCGAACTCGGGTGCGCACCTTGGAACCGTACCCGAGTCCGCTTAAAAAGGGTGGTCTGGGGTACGGTTCAAGTGAACTCCGGTACGGTTCGCTGCTGATGTGAACGCAATCGTACCAAATCACGGAAGTGAACCGCTATTAATGACGTATTATTTGATAAAAATTTGTGTTTTTCACTCACCGAACTCGGGTTCGGACCAAGCAATCGAACCAAGTGTGAAAGCACCCCCAGAAACTGAATTTTCTGAACATCCAGGGAACTATATAGAAACTTCACAGTTCTATATAGAACCCTTTACAGCCATATATCTTTTTTGCTTAGAAAACTGATCCTAAAGTGCTGCAAATTACAACAGAATACATGTAATCCTGACTTGTGTTGCTTTGGAATTCCAGAAGAGCAGGAGTCAGAAGAGGGGCTGCAGTCAGTGGAAGGATGGAGTCATGTGTAAGTTTTCACATCTTTATTTTGTTTAAGAGCACCATGGCAAGGTTATTTTGAGTCAGTGAAGTTACATAATTCTGAAGGATTACTGAAGGACCTTGGAATCTGTCAAGACGATCAAGAAGCTTCCATGATGGCTTCCTGGAATGCATTTTGCATATAGCTGGATTAGCGAGACCAGTACTGTATAAATAGCTGGGTCGGGGTCCTGTTTTATTTGCATAAAACTATTAGTCCTCAAAATGCGTATATGCTAATTATTCTAATAACAAACACAAACAAGCATAGATTTCAGTCCTATTGATGTATTTCCTGTTGCAGGGTGGGACATATCGAAAGACTTCTTCCTTTTCTTAATTAGCCAATAGCTGTTAGCTAAATCGCACTTGCTATTTGCAACTGCAGCTAGTATTGGGGGAGGGGCATTCTCATTCTAGAAAGCCGTTTGATTGGACAAGTATGTAGTGCAGGATGATGTCATCAAGATTTTGAGTCTGTTTTCTTGAAAGAGACCTAAATTTTAATTCATCAACTTTTATAGCATGCTAGCATATAGCTTAGCCTGAAAGCTAATAGACAGGAACTAAAGGGAAAAATCTAGATGAACTAATCTAAACAAGCTTTTTGTCTGTTTAACATGGGTGATTTGATTGTATCCCACCGTGGATGTGGTCTGCTCCTGAGCTAGGCAGTAGATTTTACTGATGGTTTTATTTGGACAGTGGCCCACCGTGTGCCCTGCCACTGCCACACATACTTAGTCTCAGTGTCTTGTTTGTCTCAGGCTGATGGTACAGAAAGTTCTGCACGAGCTTAAGCAGTATCATGGGTAAGTAAACAGTGTGAAGGAGCCTGTCGTGCCCTCCTACAGACTAACAGAGTGGCCCACGTTTGGTTTGCAGGCCCGAAAGCATAGAAAGCATCGTTTCTCACTTGGCTGTCTTGAACATGTTGTGTATGTTTGCGTATATTTATGCTGCATTTTATCTTCTGTGTTTACCACTCTTGCTGTATTTTTAAACCTGGTGGGGCTTTTCCTGGTTAGGACGTTCTTGTTTTATCTCAAAACCTGCATGAGAAATCAGAGTGTGCTTTTAATAAGGTCATGAAACGTCTGCACAGTAACTGACGCTTCTAACAGCAGACTAGCAAGAGGGTATGTTTGGAATGGAAAACTAGAGTGCATACTTCCTTTTGTATATTAAAAAGTAGTGTACTACATTATACACTAAATATGCAGGGGTGTCAAACTCAATTCCTGGAGGGCCGGAGCACTGCAGAGTTTAGATTCAACCCTAATTAAACACACCTGATCTAACTAATCAAGTCCTTCAGGCCTATTTGAAAACTACATGGTATGTGTGTTGGAGCAGGGTTGGAACAAAACTCTGCAAGGCTCCGACCCTTCAGGAATTGTGCTAGAGAGACAAGAGATGTTAAAAATTGCGGCTGATGCAGTTGCCACTCTAAAAATGGAAGGTTTCTTCAAACATGTTGCATTGTGGGTTGCAGAAAATTTGCATACTGCAGAAATAGTATGGTAGTATTCTGTTCCGAGCATAAAAATGGATACTAGCATGCTGCTTACTGCATACTGAGCACTATGTATTAATGTATACAACATGATATGTTTAAGCAGTAGTATGCACATTGTCACATCACCTCAATATGTTGCATGTACTTTTTAAATATTTTTGCTATAAGGGTTTTGTATTATTATTTTAAATTCCATTAAAACTTTTGCTAGTCCAATCAAATAGGTCAAGTATGCAGTAAAGAGGTAAAAATGCATTGGAGAATCAATCGGTAGAATGGAAGGTTGACAATTTTGCAAAGTTGTACGTTATCCAGATACTGCATACTGTAAAAACAATTAGGCTAGTATGGTAGTTTGCCATTCCGAACATATCCAGCATAATTTTGTAGTAAGCATGCATAAGTTGCCAGTGGAGAGTCTTATACTGAATTTATTCTAATCTGATCATGATTATCTTGGATTCTCCTCAGAGCTAAACGCAGAACTTCAAGCACAGAAAGAAAGGAGGTGACAGGGAATTTCACGTGGTACGAGTTTCTTGCCATTAAGTAAGTCATTGACCTTTTTATGTTGTTCTTTATATGATAATCACTTGGATATACTCTTGTTCTTTTGAATTTTAAATTGGTTTGATGTTGCCTTTTTTGTAGAAATGATGAGGAAGAGGAGGACAGACCGGAGCGTCCGGAAAAAGGCACCAAAGTCAAGCGGACTCTGAGCTCACTGAGGAGCCGCGTGACCGGATCCTTCAACAAAGACAAAGTAATCACACACACACTGTCATCACTCATGCTCGCTCGGACTGTGGGAAAAAAATCATGCCCATTTCTGCTGAACTTCGCAGCAACTTCTGCACCTCTGCAACTTCCTCCTTTTCTTGAATGTAGAGAGACACTAAGCTCGCCCATGCAGACTACTGGGGAAGTTCTGACCTGATCTGTGAACTAGACAATGTGCCAATTGTATACTGTCTTCTAAAAAATAAAACACAATAAGTTAATTAATCAATCAAATGATTTTTAAAACACGGATCAGCTGATACAGATATATCTAATTGTTTTGGTTATGTAGCTGATATATTGTAAAACGTTAGGGTTAGTCTATTTTTAGGACTTACTTGTATGCTTTTCCTATATTAGTTCAGCAAAATAAGAGTAAAGAGTAAAATATTTACGAAATGCACACAAAGTAAATTTGGTGGAAAATGGATAATAAAAAAATTTATAAACCATTTTAGCATCAATCCCCACTTTTCCCTATAATTAAATTAAATGTAAAATGTAATAAATAAATGTATTTATTTATTCAATTATTAATTTTTTCATCATAGTAATTATAATTTGGTGGAAATAAATGAAAATAATAATTTAAAAAAATTAGTATCTATCCCTGATCTTCCCTATAATTCAGTTCAATTCAACAAATTTCTTAATATAAATTAAAATGAAAGAAAATTAAATAATTACATTAAAATCCAGCAAAAATTACATTCACTGAAACAAATGTACTTTATGCTTTATATTCTATATATTTTTATGTTTATTTTAGTGCTGTCAAATGATTAATCATGATTAATCGCATCCAAAATAAAAGTTTTTTTGTTTACGTAATATATACTGTGTATATTTATTATGTATATATAAATACACACACATGCATGTGTATATATATTTTTTTTATATTTACATGCGTATATATATTTTTATATTCATATATAATTATAACATATTTTTCTTAAAAATATATATGCATGTGTGTGTATTTGTATATACATAATAGATTTACAGAGTTCACACACATATATTATGTAAACAAAAACTTTTATTTTGGATGCAATTAACCGCGATTAATCATTTGACAGTACTAGTTTATTTATTTTGCATCATAGTATTGATAATTTGTTGGAAAATTGACTTAATTGTCAAGAAAATAATAATAAAGAAAAACCTTAATTACTGTATATCCCTAAATGTATCCAGTCTTCCCTAAAAATGTATTAAATTAAAAACTATTGAATAATTACATTAAAATTCAGCATGAATTACATTACATTCACTGAAAAAATACTAACATGATGCATGTTCTGTGCAATATATATTTAAAAAAAAATGTATTTGTTTATTTTTGTAAATGAAATCAAATAGTATATAGAATTATAAACATCTACAAAATCATATATAATTGTATTTATTTGTTTATTTAACTTATAGTTTACTTAACTTTTAGGGGAAATACGACCTGGTCATGTTTTGTGAAATAGTTTATTTTTTCTGTCTTTTTGCTAACTATCACAAGGTAACGCTACACGTCTCTTGATTCCTCTGTTTTCAGGGTAAGACCCGAGACAAAGAGCAGCAGAAAGAGAAAAGCAGAGAGAGAGAGAAATACAAAGAGAAGGAGAAAGAGTTGCGCGAGTGTGTGAAAGTGCGGCGGCGCAGCGTGAGCGGCCACCAGCTTGTACCTGGCTCGTTCTCCACCTGGGCGACATGTTCACTGTGCAGCAAGACCCTGCAGAGGAAGCATGGCCTGCAGTGTTTAAGTGAGTAACACACGACCACAAAACACAAACTAACACCTGCTCCACACGGCGCTCCGCTTCCACCACAGCGCATGTCACAGTCAACCCCAGCCTGCTTGCAGTTTTCACGGGGCTCTTGCATCTTTCACGGGGTTTCTCTAGATTGTGAGCTGTGATGAACTATCAGGCGCTTGACCAACTGACTCAAACTGTCACGTGACGCAGCGTAGCTCGAGCTTGATGTGGTGCTGGTCCTTCAAGAGTCACTCTCAACTTATCTGCCTAGAAAGCCTATATATATATATATATATATATATAAATCAATCAGTATTTTACTACACTTCAGTATGTGATTCTTATTAAGTAGGGGTCATTTTTTAGGATTCTATACTTGTGCAGACCTTCTCTTTTGCGCGTGCAACGTTTCACTAGCTTGCTCACCAGATGCCCGCCCTCAGTGCTCTCTAAATGCCAACGGCTGGCTTGCTCAACACAACCCAGCGTTACAATATGCCATAATTACAGCCAATCAGAGACGAGGCTGCTAAATTCTGATTGGCTGCCTTGACGACCAATCACAACATTCCTTGCATTACCTCGTCAGCAGAAGAGGAAAAATACAGTGCATGCATAATTATTATGCAAGTTGATATTCTGAATATATTTTTTTCCAAGCACATTTGACCAATTCCAAACAACATCGATCTTAATAACTACTATTAATCTTGTATTTAATCACTTACAATCTATATATTATTGTTCATGAAGTGCTGGAAGTGAAAAACGCCTTATATTCAGGTGTGCATAATTATTAAGCAGGTTATCTTCTACAGATAAAATCTCGAGATGGACTAAAAATGAACTCCCAAAA